ACGCAGCCTACGTGAACAATCTGAACGCCACCGAGGAGAAGTACCACGAGGCGCTGGCCAAGGGAGATGTTACAACTCAGGTTGCCCTTCAGCCTGCACTGAAGTTCAATGGTGGGGGACATATTAATCACACCATCTTCTGGACCAACCTGAGCACTAAGGGTGGTGGAGAACCCAAAGGAGAGTTGCTGGAGGCTATCAAGCGTGACTTTGGGTCTTTTGAGAAGTTTAAGGAGAAACTGACAGCCGTGTCTGTGGGAGTCCAAGGTTCAGGCTGGGGCTGGCTTGGCTTCAATAAGGAGCAAGGTCGCTTACAGATTGCTGCCTGCTCTAATCAGGATCCTCTGCAAGGAACAACAGGCCTTATTCCGCTGCTGGGGATTGACGTGTGGGAGCACGCATACTACCTCCAGTACAAAAACGTCAGGCCTGACTATCTGAAGGCTATTTGGAATGTAATCAACTGGGAGAATGTTACTGAAAGATACACAGCTTGCAAGAAGTAAAGCCTTTTGGCCACGTTGAGTATGCCAGGCCCTTGGCTGTTTTATAGTAGTGTAGAGCACTGCAGCACTATGACTGAGAGCTGTAATCTTTACTGATGTTTATCCACATATGTGATGAGCATAATGTTATGATAATTTCTTATTTTAATTAAATTTACTATTAGTACAACTGTTTGAGAACAGTACATACTCTGTGTGAATTGCTCTTGATTGAATGTTTTCACTACAGCCTTGAATTGCTTGAACGCTAAAACTGTCATTATAAGACCGTTAGAAATATTCCATCTCTATGTTTTAGAGGCCTGTGGGAGAGTCTGTAATCCTGTTCTACTGCAGTAGAAAAAGATTGAGTTGTTCTTTTCTCCTTCCTGAGTTGTTTAATAATGAAATAGAGAACTGAATAGTTCTCTTTTCTATTAAAAATTGCTATTTTTCATGAAAAAAAAAAGAAATATCAATAATAACAATTCGTGGATAATAGTAATTCAGAAATAAATGAACACAAACAACCAATAGTCATATATCATAGTTAATAGGAAATGAGAAATATATAAAGCTGAAATATCAATAGTCATCAGTCATAGATAATAGTAAGTCAGAAATAAATGGACATGAATAATCAATTTTCAGCATAAGTGGATAACAGTAAATCAGAACCATCGAACTTGATAAATCAATATTCATCAGTCAAAGTTCATGGGAAATCAGAAATAAATAAAATGATATAACAATAGAGATCAGTCATAGATAATAGTAAGTCAGAAAAAAAAGAACATGAATAATCACTAATCACGATTCATGGATAATAGTAAATCAGAAACAAACGAGCTTGAATAATCAATAGTCATCAGTCAGAGTTCATAGTAAATCAGAAATATATAAAGGTAAAATATCATTAGTCATCAGTCATAGATAATAGTAAGTCAGAAATTAATGAACATGAATAATCAACATTCAGCATTCGTGGATAAGAGTAAATCAGAAACAAATGAACTTGATTAATCAATAGTCATCAGTCATACTTCATAGTAAACCAGAAATATATAAAGGTGAAATATTATTAGTCATCAGTCATAGATGATAGTAATTCAGAAATAAATGAACATGAATAATCAATATTCAGCATTCGTGGATAATAGTAAATCATAAATAAATGAAATTGATTAATCAATAGTCAGCAGTCATCGTTAATGTAAACAAGAAAAAAATAAAGCTGAAATACCAGTAGTCATCAGTCATAGATAATAGTAAGTCAGAAATAAATGAACATGAATAATCATTAATAACACTTCTTGGATAATAGTAATTCAGAAATGAATGAACATGAACAACCAATAGTCATATGTCATAGTTAATAGGAAATCAGAAAAATATAAAGCTGAAAAATCAACAGTCATCAGTCATAGATAATAGTAAGTCAGAAATAAATGAACATGAATAATCAATATTCAGCATTCGTGGATAATAGTAAATCAGAAATAAACGGAAATGAATAATCAATACTCATCAGTCAGAGTTCATAGTAAATCAGAAATATATAAAGGTGAATTATCATTAGTCATCAGTCAAAGATAATAATAAGTCAGAAATAAATGAACATGAATAGTCAACATTCTCCATTAGTGAATAACAGTAAATCAGAAACAAAAGAACTTGATAAATCATTAGTCATTAATCAAAGTGCATGGGAAATCAGAAATAAATGAAGCTGATATATCAATAGTCATCAGTCATAGATAATAGTAAGTCAGAAATAAATGAACATGAAAAATCAACCTTCAGCATTCATAGAAAATAGTAAATCAGAAACAAATGAACTTCATGAATCAATAGTCACCAGTTAGATTTCCTGGGAAAGCAGAAATAAATAAAGCTGAAATATCAATTGTCATCAGTCATAGATAATAGTAAGTCAGAAATAAATGAACATTAATAATCAACATTCAGCATTCGTGGATAATAGTAAATCAGAAACAAATGAACTGATTAATCAATAGTCATCAATTATAGTTCATAGTAAATCATAAATATATAATTGTGAAATATCATTAGTCATCAGTCATAGATAATAGTAAGTCAGAAATAAATGAACATGAACAAAAAATAGTCATATGTCATAGTTAATAGTAAATCAGAAATATATGAAGGTGAAATATCATTAGTCATCAGTCATATATAATAGTAAGTCAGAAATAAATGAACATTAATAATCAATATTCAGCATTCGTGGACAATAGTTAATCAGATACAAACCAACTTGATTAATCAATAGTCATCAGTCAGAGTACATAGTAAATCAGAAATATATAAAGGTGAAATATCATTAGTCATCAGTCATAGATAATAGTAAGTCAGAAATTAATGAACATGAATAATCAACATTCAGAATTCATGGATAATAGTAAATAAGAAAAAATTAACTTGATCAATCAATAGTCATCAGTCAGAGTTCATAGTAAATCAGAAGTATATAAAGGTGAAATATCATTAGTCATCAGTCATAGATAATAATAAGTCAGAAATAAATGAACATGAATAATCAATAATCACGATTCGTGGATAATAGTAATTCAGGAACAAACGAACTTGATTAATCAATAGTCATCAGTCAGAGTTCATGGGAAATCAGAAATAAATAAAGCTGATATATCAGTAGTCATCAGTCATAGATAATATTAAGTCAGAAAAAATGAACATGAATAATCAATAATAACGTTTCGTGGATAATAGTAATTCAGAAATAAATGAATATCAACAACCAATATTCATACGTCATAGTTAATAGGTAATCAGAAATATATAAAGCTGAAATATCATTAGTCATCAGTCATAGATAATTGTAAGTCAGAAATAAATGAACATGAATAATCAATAATAACAATTAGTGGATACTAGTAATTCAGAAATAAATGAACATGTACAACCAATAGTCATATGTAATAGATAATAAAAAATCAGAAATATATAAAGGTGAAAAATCAATAGTCATCAGTCATCGATAATAGTAATTCAGAAATAAATGAACATGAATAATCAGCATTCAGCATTCCTGTATAATAGTTAATCAGATACAAACGAACTTGATTAAACAATAGTCATCAGTTAGAGTTCATGGGAAAGCAGAAATAAATAAAGCTGAATTAGCAATAGTCATCAGTCATAGATAATAGTAAGTCAGAAATAAATGAACATGAATAATCAATAATCACGATTCGTGGATAAAAGTTATTCAGAAATCAAAGAACATGAACAACCAACAGACATATGTCAGGGTTAATAGGAAATCAGATACATAAAGCTGAAATATCAATACTCATCTGTCATACATAATAGTAAGTCAGAAGTAAATTAACCTGAATAATCAATATTCAGCATTCGTGAATAACAGTAAATAAGAAACAATCAGAGTTCATAGTATATCAGAAATACATAAAGGTGAAATATCATTAGTCATCAGTCATAGATAATAATAAGTCAGAAATAAATGAACAGGAATAATCAACATTCCGCATTCATGGATAATAGTAAACCAGAAACAAATGAACTTGATTAATCAATATTCATCAGTCAGAGTTCATAGTAAATCAGAAATATACAAAGGTGAAATATCATTAGTCATAAGTCATAGATAATAGTAAGTCAGAAATAAATGAACATGAATAATCAACATTCAGCATTCGTGGATAATAGTATATCAGAAATAAATACACACAAATAATCAATACTCATCAATCAGAGTTAATAGTAAATCAGAAATATATAAAGCTGAAATATCAATAGTCATTAGTCATAGAAAATAGTAAGTCAGAAATAAATGACCATGAAAAATCAATATTCAGCATTCGTCGATAAGAGTAAATCATAAACAAACGAACTTGATTAATCAATAGTCATCAGTCAGAGTTCATAGTAAATCAGAAATATATAAAGGTGAAATATCATTAGTCATCAGTCATAGATAATAGTAAGTCAGAAATAAATAAAAATGAATAATCAATAATAACAATTCGTGGATAATAGTAATTCAGAAATAAATGAACATGGACAACCAATAGTCATATGTAATAGTTAATAGGATTCAGAAATATATAAAGCTGAAATATCAATAGTCCTCAGTCATAGATAATAGTAAGTCAGAAATACATGAAAATGAATAATCAACATTCAGCATTCATGGATAATAGTAAATCAGAAACAAATGAACTTGATTAATCAATATTCACCAGTAGATCAGAAATATACAAATGTGAAATATCATTAGTCATCAGTCATAGATAATAGTAAGTCAGAAATAAATGAACATGAATAATCAACATTTAGCATTCATGGATAATAGTAAATCAGATGCAAACAAACTTGATTAATCAATAGTCATCAGTTAGAGTTCATGGGAAAGCAGAAAAAAATAAAACTTAAATATCAATAGTCATCAGTCATAGAGACAGAATTGGTTTCTAAATAAAGTTATTGACAGAATTGTTTATTACATAAATATTTTGACAGAATTGGTTATTGAATAAAAATACTGACAGAGTTGGTTATTAAATAAAGATATTGATAGAATTTTTTTAACAAATTATGTGGACAGAATTGCTTTTTTAAAAAAGATATTGACAGAATTGGTTTTGAAATAAAAATATTGACAGAATTGGTTATTACACAATTGATTATTAAATAAATATATTGAAAGACTAGGTTATTAAATAACGATATTGACAGAATTGGTCATTACAGAATTGATTATTAACTAAAAATATTGACAGAACTGTTTATTAAATAAAGGTATTGACAGAATTGGTTATTACAGAATTCAATATTGTAAAAAGATATTGACGGAATTGGTTTTTAACTACAGATATTGACAAAATTGTTTTTTAAATGATGATATTGACAGAATTTTATTTAAAATAAAGATAATGAGAGAATTGGCTATTAAATAAAGAGATTGACATAATTTGTTTTTAAATAAAGATATTGACAGAATTGGTTACTACAGAATTTATTATTAAATAAAGATACTGACAGAATTGGTTATTAGATAAAAATATTGACAGAACGGTTTATTAAATAAATATATGGACAGAATTGGTTATTTATAAAGATATTGAGAGAATTCATTAGTAAATAAAGATATTGACAGACAGAATTGGTTATTACATACAGATATTGAAAGATCTTGTTATTAAA